GAAGCGGGGTGCTTTGTCCTGACGTGTTTGCTATGGCTTCAAGGCGCGCTGCTGTCTAATTTGTCTCGTTCCCTTCGACTCCCTCCCAGCCCATTTTCTGGGAGGTCATTTACTGGCAACTTCTTTTTTTTTTTTTTTTTTTTTTTTTCCATCCCGTGTTTGCGGATTGTCGCATGTCGCCCTCCTGACCCTATTTGTGTTGTCTGCAGCCAAACGGGAGCGGCCAGAGCAAAATGCCAGGCTCCTTCTTGCTGCCTCCACCTCCCCCAGTGGCCCGCCCAGTGCCCCTCCCTATGCCCGACTCTAAACCCAACAGCACGCCCCCTGACGGCGGACTCTCATCGCCCGCATCTCCGTGTAAGTGACCCCATTTTGAAACCCAAATCAAAGTTTAAAAAAAAAAAAAAAAAAAACCCCAACAGCAATCGGAAAAAGAATTTGACACAAGCAGCCCCCTTTAGGGACCGACCCCACCCCATCCCCATTGTTCTTCCTCCAACTTGGTGCCACCGTTGTTCATGTCTAACCAACAACTCGCATCCCTTTACCCTCGGAAGTGTGGCCTGCCCCGACAAAATAATTATGGAGAGCAGCGAGGTAGACCAAACGTCTGCAAAAGTTGAAGACGAAGCAAAGAAAGGTCTCAGTGACCTTTGTGGTGTGCATCCGGGTTCTCGACCCGGTCCCAACAGTTGGAATGAGCCTCGAGTCCCCGCTTGACTCGTCAGCAATAAGTGGAAACCTGAAATCCAACAGCTCGGTTCTCACTTTGGGTGTGAGGAAGGCACCGATGTTCAAAGAATTCCATCAGAAAGTGGCTTGTCGTTGGTGTCCAATTTCTATTCGTTGCTGTCGGCTGAACCTGCATCGAAGATTTGGTGAAGCCGGAATTTCCTCCTCACCTGCGACTGGAGGGGCACTGGATGGAGCACCTTTTTAATTCAACAAGTTTTCCAGATGTAGTCTTTGTGTTTTCCCCGATCAGTGTCTGAGAGTCCTTTATGTCGTTTGTATGTTAACCCGATATACGGTCAACGGATGCATAGCGTGTCCATGCCGTTGAACTAGCCTTAACCTCAGCCTTCTCCTTCTGTCTCTCTCTATCTGTCTCTGTTGTATTCGTGTACGTATTCAGTTCAGTCTTTGAGCTGAAGTCTCCACACTGAGTTGTGAATTCTCAAAATGTGGATTCCCAAGCCTACCTGAATGGCCCCTACATTCACACTCGGACGCCAGTGGTCTATAAATGTCCCTGAATGGTCCTCAGTGTTCGTGCTTGGAGTGCCCACGTACTTTCAGCGCCGAGTTTATCCACGGGAGTTAAACAGACGGAGCAATCTGGGGCTCGGGACGAGCACCATATTGTGGAGCATTTAAGTAGACGAGATTCCAGCCCTCATTGGCTTCAACGAGTCGAAGAAGGACATTTATAGATTGACACGCCCCAAAAAGACGCACCTGCCAATATGCTCCGTTCGACGCCGCGCTTCATCGCAAGTTAAATGGTCTTGCCACTAAATCGGGAAGTTATTTTCCCACAGAAAAGAAATTGCATTGGTTTGATGAGCCACCAAGGTATTCACGAAACTCAAACGGCATTTTGTCCCCAGCAAAGACATCCCCAAAGCAAGCCTCTTCCCGCCCCTGAAACTGTCTCGATCACTCTTAAAGCTGCTGACCACTCGGGACATCCACCAAAGATCGGATGGCATTTTGCCGCTCGTGTCACCGGACGATTTGTGTGGACGACTGTTGCCTCGCAGTCCTTTCGCCAAAATCTCAAACCCTGAGATTGCCCGAACAATCAGTTCGGAGCCTTCCTTTACGCCGCCCGGTGTTCCAAAATGACACCGCTCCTCCCCTAAACTTGCATCCATCTTTGTGAAACGGATACGCAAAACTTTTCTTCAGCTTTGGGGACGGCCTTCCAAAGGTCTGCACCGGCAACCTCGTCAAAAAGTCGCTCGGTGGGGATCCGTGAAAGCGAAACAACAACAATCTCTCCCACGTAGGAGAGAATAGCGTTGCCGACGAGCAAAGGTCAGACTTCAGATAAACGCGTGTGCACCTTGTATACAAATCAAGACGAAATGCCCACTCTATTTCCTAGACGGGCCTTTGTTGTCATGCGATCGTTTGCGCTTCCGTACGGGCAACGTAGAGAAGCACTATTAGAGGGCGATGCCGGATGGACGACGCGGTGCTCGACTCGCTTCTTTGCCGTGACTCGACGTGTCTCTGTGCGCACTTATGGCTCTCTGTCCCCTTGTGTTTCGATAGCATACTCCGCGCCAGGCGCCGCAGCTCCCAACAGGTTTGTCGGCATCGGATCACGGGACAACAACTTTCTGAACATCCCGCAGCAGACGCAGGTGAGACGTTCAAGTGTGACGCCACACGTTTGGAGGAATCGGTCTCCTTGCTCAATTCGGTTTTGTCCCCCTCGCCGCCGCTCGCACGAGAGCGTCTCGGTTCCCCCACTGGTCATAAGCCGCCCCCATTAGCAGCAGTACTTTTCTCATTAGTATCTAACCACACCCGCCTGGAGCCAGCTCCACGAACACATGGAAAGCATCTGAGTCTCCTCTGCCGATCCCTCCCCTTGTTTCTCTGCCCTTCCATACTTTCACTCCTCACCAGTGCCGTTCTTTCTTTTCTGCCCACTCGCTCTTCCACTTTTTGTTGTCTTTTTTTAATTCTCTTCTCTTGCTCCTTTTCGTCCACTGCATTCCAAAACTTGGATTTATTTTCTCCACTGGAAAGACCTTAACAACGCAGTTTCCAATTCTCATTGAGAGGATTTTTTTTTTTTTTTTCCCTTAGGCTGACCCAAGCCTGTAGCGAGTATGGATTGCATTTTTCTCACATTTTCCAACCCAGAATGCATTTCCCAAATTGTCCGCATTGCATTTCCTCTCGCAACTAACACCTTCTCCCGAATCTCGCATGTTGGTTTAACCATGCGTTCTAATCACTTGATAAGTTGCTCCCCTTTTCCTGAACCGTCTTATGTCCGTCCCCACAACAAATATCCCAGTAGGTCCTGCAAAGATGAAGCTGATATTGTTTTATGAGTCTTACTTCGAATTGCAGTCCATTACCTGAAGGAATCTCAAGGACATGGCATACATTTGATTTATTTTTAAAAAAAAAAAAGAGAGGGAGAGAGAGGCAGACTCAGAGATGCTGATGACTGGGTTCCAGATGCCATCTAGTGGCAAGTTGAATATGTAACAGAAAAGGGGAAAGGTAAAAACTAAACCCCGAAACAAAATAAGTGCGCGGCTTCAGAATTACCCACAATAGAAGCACTGGCAATGAGAGAGACATCATGGCATGGCCAGCTGATCTCGAATTTGTGATCGGGTCTCAAATCAGTATGAAAGGGCTGGGCAGACAGACAGAAAGAAAGAGAGAAGGAACCGTCAACATTCTGCTGTCCAGGATTTAAGGGAGGAAGGTTGGCGCCAATGAAAGCCCCTTTGTTCCAGGCAAATTATAAAAACAGTCAACAATAACCCTGCTCATCAGCAAATTTTGATGGGTTCGTGGGTTCCTAAAATTGCTGACCACTGGAATCATCCAGAACAGAGCAGGCGTAGGATCAGTCAGATGCCTGTGGATCCCGATCCAGTCTGTTGTGCATGCTGAGTTTGATGCATCATGGGGTCACCCCCTGGAAAGTCAAAACTGAAAGAGCCGAGCAGACAGGTCTCAGCAAGGCGGCGTCGGCGCCAACAGTAAACTGGCTTTTAAGGAAACTATGCACAGCGGGGTCAGCCTCCACAGCCAAAATTAGAACTGGAGCGTAGCCTTCCAGCTCAAAGCTCTGCTTTGCATGCTACTTTTAGCCAGTCAAGAGTCAACAGAGGAGACGTTGCCATGGTTGACGTCTGCCGGGACAGGAGGGCGATGTCGTCACGCGACCTCTTCGTCTGACCGGACGAAAGGCTTCTTCCCGTGAGGATCAGAAGATATTGCCAGGCTGGCTTTTTAGAATGTCGCTACGTGCTGCCGGGCAGGCACAAACCATCCGGCATTCCACACAGACTGAAAAACAAAACAAAAATATGCGCTTCTGTTGACATTCGCCGTCATACAATTCATGGAACTCCAAAAAAAGGGTCAAGTGAAGGCAAGTTGGATGTGCATGAACTGAAAAGTGGACCTGCAAACACGCCGTTCCATCCCATCTTGGCATTCCTGCACAATAATCCGCCCACCTGACGTTCATCGCCGCAAACTTTTGAAACGTTTGAAAATACATCCTTGGAAATACTTAAAAAGATCCACAACACCTTTGGGGGAAATGTCGTTAATGCAAGCTTTAATTGTCACAAACTTGGAAGAGATTGATGACCCCGACTGCAGTGCGCCCCCCCAGGGGGCAGTTGAGATTATTTGTGTTCACTTTGGGTGAGCCGTGAAACTCTGCCCAGATGCTGACGGTTCCCAGAGGGGGATTCCGACTGACTGCTTTGCTGCGATGCCACCGCCAAGCACTCGTTTGTTTCTGTCGAAATACCCGCGTACAGTAACTAATGGAATATTGTCGGCTTCACTTCATGCATACGACATCCATCGTATCCGGGAAACCGTCAACTATCTTTAATGTTCTTTGGGCTAGCGCCCCCCCACCCCCTGCCCCCTTTTTTTTTTTTTTCAGGGGCTCATTGACTTTGGACTTGTGAAGTTATTCTTGCAACACAGTTAAATGCATGTGCTTATTTATTGAGTTCATGTTTTATCTTATTTCAGTAACTTTAAAGATGAGCGAATTCTTCACGGGAAATGATGATTTGTACTGCGAATTCGTCAAACCTTTCCTAATTTGGTCGCCAATGGGTTCGTCCCATGTTTTGTATCCTCTGTTAAAACTCATTCACTCCCTAAAGACGTTTTTATATGTCTTTTCAGACTTGGTTTAGAATTGGCTGGTACTGAATGAGTTAAGAGGGGACACCTTCAACGCCAACAATATTTCAGTAACTTTAAAGATGAGCGAATTCTTCACAGGAAATGATGGTTTGTACTGCGAGTTCGTCAAACCTTTCCTAATTTGGTCGCCAGTGGTTTTGTATCCTCTGCTAAGAGGACACCTTCAACGCGAACATCATCTGATTTCTTTCCTGTGTTTCCTCTCTTTCAGTCTTGGTTCCTCTGACAAGATCTGCGTTGAAAACCAGCAACTCGTAATCTTTCTTTACAATCGGAAACAGATAATTGTCCTACAATCAACACGGCGACCGGCCACGACATCGCATCGCACTCACAAAGGCAAAACCCGACGAAGCACCGCAGGAAAATTGCGCAACATTTGGAGGAACTCCGGGCTCATCGTATTCATTGGGAGGAAGGAGCCGTAGGAGGCAACGACGGCAAGGCGGAGAAAGGCGACGGCGCGGACGAAAGGACGGCAAGGATGGCGAAGGCGGCAAAGCGGCCAGCCCGTGGGCGCGTCTCCTGAAAAGAAAGCCGGCGGCCATGCGGGAGGATCCCAAGGACGACGCCGACTTCTTAGCAAGGACGCGGTGGCCTCAAAAGTAAAGCAACACTTCCAACAAAACCCGCCGTGAATTTACTCAGTCGTGTTGTTCGTGAAAGCTGCATTTCATACTCCACCCAAAAGCGGTCACGTTGACCGCCGCTGCGTCTCTCTCGGAATGACTCTAGACATAAAAAGAAGAAAAAAAAAAAAGCCCCCTTCCGCCCTCCTACTAACTAACTAAATAAGAAAAAGACACGATGCCAAAACATAGCTTGAAGGCTTTGCACCTCCGGGCTGAATCGATTAACGCGAATCCTATCGATCGATGTGCACTACAAGGTCAACCCGACTGGCCGATTCCGACTCTTATTGTTGGAGAAACAAAACAAGGCACAAGAAGCCGACACTTTGCTCCTCTTGTTTGTCCCGTCTGCCCCCACGTGCTGTAATCCGGAAGTCCAATCAGAGCAAAAAAAAAACAAAAAAAATGTGGGTGCCACCAACACGGTATTTGTCTCCATTTCAAAAGGCACGGTGTCCTCTTTCTCGGAGGTGCGATGCGTCGTTACAAAAGCCAGTCCGGTGAACCGTCGCCACCTAAATCGATGAGCAGTCCAAAACGACACTGTCGAATCGGCGTGCGCCAATCTAGATAAGCAGCTATTGATTGCCCTCCCTTTTGGCCCTCTTGTCAAGTGGGCGATTGCTTTCGGTATCTCGTGCATGTTCTTTTTCTTTGAATTCCTTTGGGGATTTGTACTATTTTGTCATTGTTTTTGTATTTGAATGACAGCACCTTATAAAGAAACACCGTCGGACATTTTAGCGAGGTGGTTCGAGCCGAGCCCACGGTCAGGATTTGAAAACAATACAAACGTTTTGGGGGACTTTTGCTTTCTTCCCCAGAGTTCTCGAGAACCTCGAGCCCATTCATGTCGTTTAGGAGCAAAAATGGTTCGCTGGGCCCCGAGCCGACGAGCACCTGCGTAGCCGTAACCTCCGCTCATCATATCGGCGAGATCCATTCAAAGTTGTGGCAAACTGTCTCGGAACCGGCTCGGGAATTGAACGCATCCAAACAGAGAATTGACGCAGACTTTGTCACCTTCCGAATTACCCAGGGGGAGATCTTGCGGTCCAGATTCGTGTCGCAGTTTTACGTGTACCACATAAACATTTTCTCCCCCCCCAAAAAAAAAAAAAAACAAAACAAATTCTCAGCTAATACAGGTGCTTTTTTTTCCAGTGCCGGACAAATCCAGAGTTAATACGAACGTTTCGACATGTTTTTTTATTGTTAAGTCACACATTTATTTCTCTCGCATGCCCGCGATGGACGGATATTAATGACAAAATAAAACAAAAAATCATCTGGCGGGGGCGGAAATGAGAAACCTTGAGAAGGGGCCGCAGATGGGGGAATCCCAGGGTGCAAATGGATGCCGAGCGGGCAACAGTTGCCACAATATTGCACGATACAATGTTAGTTCGAATGATAGAAAAGTCCAGTGAACAAGATGAAAGCGCTGCAGGGAGACGCCTTCGGAGAGGTGGGCCCCCTCCTTATTGTTCTGGCTTTAAATTAAGATGAGGACTCAAAAGGCCCAAGTAGCATTGACAAAACTTCTTTCGATCAACGTGTGTAAACGTTTGGCAATTGTGACGACCGGGCCTCGTGCCTTATGACCAAACCGGGAGAGACATTTTGGAATCATTCATCCATGATGCTCATCTCCCCATTTACAAAATTAGGATGACCCATTTTTTTTTTCCTTCACAATTCCAGTCTCAAAATGTGTGAAAACGTAAACATCTTTTTATTTTTTTATTTTTTGTTCACCCCCAATAAGGTGTATGAACCCTGCAAACGTTCATGCCGGCAACTGTACCGTTTCAAACTAGAAGGTTGTGACAATCAAAAGAAAACATATCTGGAAACTTGTTTGGTCAACAAAAGCGGTTTTACCCTTTGGACCACGTTTGGCCGCCGGTGGCGGCGATACTCTCGGATGGCGAAGTGTCGGAGTGAGAGAAATGGAAGAGAAGGGAAAGGTTGCTGAAACTGGGAATGTTGCTCTTTTTCGGTCTCCCGAAAACGTTTACCTTGTTGTTTACACTCCCAGACGGGCCGCTGCTCCAAGAGCGGAGGGAACCACACTGCGGAGCAAAAAATGAATATGTGACATATCGTTCTGTTTTCAGTCGCAATGTGCCCACTTTTTTTTTTTCCTTCTTCTTTTTTTTAAAGCTGATTTTTTTTTTTTTTTTTTTTTTTTAAGAATGGAATGCACAGGATTAGTCTTTAGTTTAAGGAGGTGTGGGCGCCAGTAATGTCAGCCCCTGTATATTGTGAATTGATCAGCCCTTATTGATGAAACAAAACAAAACAAAAAAAAAAAAAATGCACTAAAGCAATCACACGCCAGCCAAACTTTTCTATCATCGATTAAAAAGCAGTGTTCACATGCGTCTTAAATGCAAACACACACACAACACGCGTGCGCGCGCGCTGCCCACGTCAACTCTAAGAGGGACGTCTTAAAATGTCGACAATCTGATGAGGCCTTGATGCTTAAACGTCGCCATATTCCCCAGCGGTTGGCTTAAGTCTCGGACGGCCGTCGGAAAAGTTCCATTGAAAGCACTCCCCCCCCGACCTCACAAAATAACTGGACTGCCCGGCCACGTTCCTTCCTCACTGCGGGGAAGCTCGATAGTTGGCCAAGCATCTCACAGAGAGCGAGTTCTGACAACTTCACGGTGGCTTCTGTCATTTCTTTTCTAATCTAAAGGAAGTGCCTCTGTATTCCCATTATGCAATTTGTCAAACATGAATTCAGGTTCTTTTTTCATATATAAGCTATAGTGAATGGTGGAAAAAACAAAAAAAAAAAATCTATGGCAGGAGAGGAGAGAGAACAGTTCACTAGACAATCGCAAGCATCTTTATATATAATACACGCGCGCACACACACACACATATATATACATATATATATTTATAGATATCTACTTTTGTTTTTATTTGCAATATAAGCTCAGTGGCAGTCTAGTTATTTTTTGAAGCATGGCAGTGGTAGGTTGCATCTCAGCAACGGCTGATCGGAGCGAAGTAGCAGCCTCTCAATTGCACAAACTGGCAGGTTAGACAAGAAAATCGAAAGCAGACACTACGATAATAATTAAAGGAGGGAAAAAAAATGGTGATGAATTCAAAACAAAAAAAAAACCCACAAAAGATCAGCTTACATTGAGTTGTTTTCGTTCTTGTTTTGATGGGAAGCATTGTTGTTGAAACTCAATGATGTGTGTCGATTGAGCCATGTGCAATGCCTTGGTAGAGGATTTGTGTGTTTGTTTGCGATTGTTTGAGGGTGTTGCAAGAGGGACAAATCTCTCTTTTGTTTCTGTTTATCGCTTGTTATTTGTGTTTCAAGTCCATATGCTCTGGGACTCTAAATATCAGAGCGGAGGAAAAAAAAAAATCCAGCTCTTTGTAAGTAAGGGGGGAATTGTTTTTATAATCTTCTTTTTGTGGTCCTTTTTTTTTTTTTTTTTAAGAAAAACTTCATTTCTAATCATTTGTTTTGAACATGCGGGAGGGCTGAAGGAACATCTTTGCAACTCGGAAACTGGTGCTTTCTCACGTAGAGTGTTATAGCCATACCCAAAAGAAAATGCATTCGTAGAATGATGTTCGTAGCCCTTCATGAAAAGGTGACATTTTCCTACATTTGTAATCTGAAGAGAATTTACACGTTGATGACCCAAACGTTTGAATGTTATCACCGTTGAGCTGAGGACAGTGGAAAGGATAAATTTGAATTCTCATCGTCACGCTTTGTTTTTTCAGTGTGGCCCGAAGAGACCTTTGTGCTTTCCGATTGGCCTCCATCAATCATACGACACACGATGACAAAATTTAGCGGGAATGCTCATTTTAGGAAACGTGTGTTATTTGTCTTTTTGTATTTACAGGTGGGCATTGTTAAGGGGTGGGGGGGGGGGGTTGTTGGAACAAAAGGCATTTTTCCCCTCATGAACTTTTGACGCCATACGGATTGTATCATCTCATCTCAAATATGGGACAAAGACAAGCTCTTACCCATTTGGGGGATGAACAAAAAGACCATGAATGATGTTTGTTTGTTTGTTTTTTTTTGTCTGGCAAGAGTTTTATTTGACTCAGTGTAAAAAAAAAAAAAGAAAAAAAATAATGTCGGAAAATTTGCATTTGCTCCGAGTGGTGCTGTCACCCATTCAAGTGAACCCCGCCCCTTCTGGCCCGTCACCCACTTGTAAATGAATATAAATATTTGTTTGGTGAAGTAGTGTCCTAGAGTCAGAGCATCTTAAAGGTTGTCCCGAAAAAAAGTGCCTTTTGTTCACAGATTCCATCTCGTATACTCCTGAGATCCCATCTCAAAAGGAAAAAAAAGACAACAAAAAAAAGTCCCCTCCTTCATCCTTCTATATCCACTTGTTTCTCTTCTTCTCCTTTTTAAAGCAGTATACATTGTACTAAAGGCAATTGGTGTGATTTAGTTCCTGTTTTTATTGTTGAATAATTAAAAAAAGGCAGAAAAATGCAGAAAAAAAGACAAAAAAAAAAGCTTCTCTTTCCTCTGTATCTCGTCTTCTGTCTATCTTGGACACTGGAGTAGTCAGTAGCTGCCCCTCACTCATCCTTTTTCCGTTTTTCACTTTTCTCTGAATGTTGGGGTTTAAAAAAGAAAAACACCAGATTTTATTTTATTTTTATTTTTTTGTCTGAGCAGAATGCAGTTAGCTCACATGTTATTCTTATCTGTATGCTTCACATTGTATTACCATACCCATCTTCTTTGGCTTCTCCATTCAACCGCTAATGTAAGTGAACAAGTTACACCAGTGGGCTCTGGGCTGAGTTGAGGATGGAGGGGGGCTGTCATGGGTCGGAGTGGGGGGGTTAGAGAGGCAACAAGCAATCATATTTGGGTTTAAACGAGGGAAATGTGCTGGAGAACTGCTTGTAAAGGCAGATTATTCCTTATTTGTGTCTCTTTTATAGTCACATTTGGACGTGATTATTGACCCCACCCCCCAATTGCAGCTGCTTTTCCTTGGCAGCACTAAAACGCTGCACTCAATTTTGCACCTTTCAAGTGGTTGAATAAAAACCACTTTAAAATTTAAAACAAAAAAAATGAAAGAAAAAAAACAACCCTTTTTTTAATAGCACCTTATAAGCAGACCGTCACCATGGCATTGAGGCTGAAAGGGTCATTTTAAGCACAATCAAAAGAGAGAGAGAAAAAAAATTGTCACACACCGCCTCGCAATATGGAGTCTCAAAATTAGCAGTGTGTTGCAAACTTCGAGACCAAAGTGGTGTGTACACACAGACCTGGGCAAGCGGAAGAAAAAGCACCTTGAAAATGTACCAGCAGCAGCAGTATTATCAAGCACCACAGTTGAGAAGCCATATTGGAGAGGCACAGGTTGTCCAGGTCGGCGGGGTTGAGGCAGGGGCCGCATCCAGACACCCACAACCACCACCTCAACCACCAAGCGTGCTTCTTCCCCTCCTCTAACCTTCAAAGCAGTAATCCATCCTCAGACACACTCCAATGAGCCCCTGGTGAAATGCATGTGTTAAAGTTTCTTTTCCATAATAATGAAAAAAAAAAACAGTTTGAAGAGAGCAACACTTGATTGAATAAAAGGATGTTCTTAACTGTACCTGGTGTATGTGTTTGATTTGGGAGTTGGAGTTTCTTTTCATGGTGATGTTTGTAGCATATTCCATGGCGATTCCCGGATCAGAAGTTGAGGGGCACCGACAGCATTGGTGGGCCGAGTACAGTACTGACCGATAGGAAGGCGTATGCTGGCTGGGCGGGTCCTTGGCGAGCTGTGATGTTTCGTATGAAAAACGCCTTACTATATATGGTCGTTTTTTTTTCGGCTAAAACGCCTTACTAAACATGGTCGTTTTTTTTCGGCTAAAAACGCCTTACTATACATGGTCGTTTTTTTCGCGTAAAAACGCCTTACTATACATGGTCGTTTTTTTCG